GGTAACATGTCGACGCGAGACACACCGAGGTTTAATTACCGTGCTTATTGAGCTTATTGTTTGTCCAAGGACCCCTCGCTGTTGCTGTTCTTGCGGCAACTACGAGACGTGACTGTCGAAAGGAATGGGGAGGTGTGCAGGTATCGTCTTCGCGAGCAAGAAATTGGACACATCATTGTCTCTGTCACGACATGTCGGACAAGTCCTCAGCCAAGCCGATTCAACCACTGTATCGAAGATGGCGATGTTGAGGAACATCCTTACAGAGTAGCAAGGGCCGGAGCTGGGACATCTCAAGTGGCTGTTGCCTTCCCCATGGCCGGTGCCGCTCCTGCTGCTGCACCAGTTTTCACGACTTTGCCGCTTTCCAACTTTTCCGGCTTGCGGACGCCCCTGAATGCACATTTCGACCTGACGGCGAATCGTGAGGCATTAATGGAAGGTAGTGAAAGAAATGCACGGCTTAGAGATGAATTGGCCGAGCTCTGGCTCGCCACTGTCGCGAAGAGTGCTCCCAGAACAGCCCTCGCAGATAGTAGCGACAGCTTGTCGATGAGGGCCTGGCTGTTGCAGCCTGGGACCGAGCTGGCAAAGATACCTTTCTGGGCACCCTTTGTGCAAAGAGTAAGATCTGGATTGCAGGAAGTGCCCCTTGTCCCAGTGGAAGATACGGACATGCTGAAAAACCGATTGCTTCCTATCAGCCGGTGTCGACGACCAGATTCACCCTTATTGCGGTTGCTGCACCTCACAGCTGGAGACCTTGCACTGCTTGGATTAGGCATTCCTGTGGGGAAGTATTTGCAACAACTACCAGCAGGAACGGACGTGAACGTGTCGGAATTCAACACTTGCGACCTTCTTGAACTGTTGAGCCTTCCGCTCGAAAGCCAAGGCGCCGAAGGCTGCCGCTTCGAGAGCCGGGGGCTGTCTTGGCGAAAGGACGTGGTGAAGGCCCTGGCGAAGCGATGTCACGAACTGGACCTGGCAGCGCTACGCAAAGCCCCGCTCTTCGTACTGGGCAGAGGCGAAGCTCAGGATGCCTTGGATGCAAAGCCACAAGGGACGCAAAAAAAAAAAGAAAGACACCGCAAGCTCCCCCTCCTTTGCTAAGACTTGGATGGCTTGTGGGGATGATCCGATTTTCGGCTCTGTGCCGAAAGGCTCACCGGCTCTGCTGAGAGTTTTGGACAAGGCGTGCGCTTGCCAAGCTGACAAGGATTTGCTCAAGCTCCTAGGCTGCGGTGGCAAGGCCACTCATCGAGACGTGGCGTATGCGATTGTGCAGCAGACAGTGGGCCTGACCGAAGCTGAGGACCATTGAGGTACTTGTAGAACGCCCTGCATCCTTGTTGTTTCGACTTTTACAAGTTTTACCCGGCGGAACGGTCACGGATCTAGGGGCGGGGGGGGGGAGCTTGCAAGGATCACCGCTTCTCATGGACGAATCTCGCTTACCTCGGGCGACGCTGGCAGGACATCTTGGAAAGTTCAGCCAGTGCGACATGGCTTGCACACCAGAGCCGACAGGAGATGGCCGACTTGATGAGAAGTCTCCTAGTGCCTTCCTGCATGAATCTTCTGCACGATGCTCGAGAGCTGGAAAGTCCCTTTCTACTGGGCTGCAAGCCAGCAATGCCCGGCTACGACCGCAGCCGAATTCTCAGAGATCCGCCGAGTGCCAGTGGCTTCAGAGCACAGCTTTGGTGGGAGCTTGTGTTCCTTCGCCTGGGAGCACAAACTTCGAAAGCAGAGCGGCTGAAGCTACCCAAAGGCATTTTTACCAGTCGGAACATCTCCACTGACCTGAACACAGTGCTTGATGTTTACGAAGCCCGTGAAGACCTTGCCGAGCTTCGCCGGCGCTGTGAAATCGAAGATCGTTCAGGCCAGGTGCGTCGGGCAGACCAGAGATTGATGGGACCCAAGTTCGAGCAGTTTCTGGGCCCAGAGTTTGTCGTTGAGGTATTTCATAGTGCCGACTTGGTTGCACTCGCCCAGCGGTTGCTGGATTTGAGCATTGAGCCTTCCGGCCCCGAAGTCCTATCCTGGTTGTGCCGTGCCGCCAAGCGCGAGGCAACCCTGCAGGCTGCTTACAAGTTCGTGACGGACGCTTGGCAGAAAGACCCGGCGTGCATGGCACCTGCTATTGTGCAAACGCAGGCCACCGGGATTTGGCTGTTGGACGACTCTAACCAGATCGTACTGAAGAAGACAGCGGATGCCTGCTGGGAAGATGTCAAAAAGCTGTTTCCTCCTTGGAAGTGGAGAAAGTCATTGAACAGCTTGCAGGACTTTTTTGTGGCTGGCTTGGGCTTGGCCTTGACCTCCACTGTGCAAGAGATGGTTGTCGCCCCGACGACGGCTGCGACGCCCGTCGCCGAAGCTGCCCAGGCAAGCGAACTCAAAGCAGGCAAACCGCTCAAGCGAAGCCACCAAGACTTGTCTGGATCGCTCCCGATGAGAAGCCCAATCGCTCTGAGCACCGACGCGGCAGAGGCCCCCAGAGACAAGGGAACGAAGCGGAAGCTGGAGGCGGAATGTGCAGCAGAAGCTCCGTCCAGCTGCCAGAAGCAGAATCCAGGCGGGATTGCATCTGCAGAGACAGAAACAGAGCTGCCTTTCACTCGGTGCGAGGGTACCGTCTTGTCGGTTCTGAAGGAGAGAGAGAGAGAGAGAGAGAGAGAGAGATAGAGAGTGAGAGAGAGAGAGGAGGAGGAGAAAGAGAGACAGAGATTGCAAGCAAGCAAGCAAGCAAGCCAGCAAGCAAGCAAGCAAGAGAGAGAGAGAGAGAGAGTTGTGTAGTAATATGCATGGACCTCACATGGCTGTCCAAATCCCTTTGCATGTTTCCTTTGAGAGCATACGACCAGCATGACTTAGATATCGCAATTTTATGGCTGTAGCCTTCTTGCTGGTCTATGCTCGTACACTCCCCGTAGCCCAACAAGACGTCGGGAGGACCTGGAGCCCGGGGACGCTGACCCGTCTCCATGCCCGGGAGAAAAAGAGAGAAAAAGAGAGAGAGAGAGAGAGAGAGAGAGCGAGAGAGAGGGAGAGAGAGACGCACAGGAGCGCGCACATGCCTGCCTTTTACCTTGAGCAAGCCAGCAGAGAGAGCCGAGGGAGCGGGAAGCTGCAACTGCTGCCAGGCGGTCAAATGTTCATGGGCCTCTCCTTTGAGCTTGTGTGCGATACAAGTAGCTGTAGCTGTCGTGTCGTTCCTTCTTCGTTTTGCAAATTTTTGCAGCAACAAACGGCCGCGCACAGCAATCTGCCAGTCAAGTTTCAGGGGTGTGTGGGAAGGTCAGGCAGCACAGCTGCGCAAGGTCCAGCTCCAATTCAGGTGAGGCCGGGATATCAACAGCAGTCCTGCTTTCACGGGTGCACCGCATTGGGGGCCTTGGCCAAGTCATATCCTTGATTCCAGCGGTACTTTCATGTCTTGCTTTCATGCTTGTACTGTCAACTGGGCCGGAACCCCGTAACCTTCAGAACTTCAGTGAGGGGTGGATGAACACCACCTTCACACTCCCCGGAAGGGGCCGAGCTGTGACGCAGATGCGGACCGAGGGTGTAGGCCTTCGGGCCAGGGGGGTTGCCCCAAACCCCGAGCAAGGCAAGCAAGAGCGAGCGAGAGAGGGAGAGCCTTCACCGAAACGGTCATACTTGCGCACGGCAGCAGGTGCACGGAGTGTTCTAAACCATCAGATACTGTGGGTGTTTGTTTTAGTGCTCTGGTTTCCCTTTTTGCAGGCGACTTCGCTATGACAATGCCGCCGCTTCCTCGCCTGTCTACGCACGAGATGGAGGTCAACGACGGTGAAGAGGTCCCTACAGGAGGCGGGTTTAGAGTGACGCGCTCTCATTCCTCCCCAGCTTGACTGGCAGTTTTGCTACCTCTGCAAGCCTTACACCGTATAAACCACACACCTCGGCAACTCTTGGCAAGAAGCCGGAAGCGCTCGAGTCCGGTAGCAACCCTCTCAACCACAGTGCCTTTGACATCCCCGTGCAGGCCTAGCTGCAATGCGTTAATAACTATCTCTGTGATCAGGCAGGGTGTGGCGCATGCCTTCGCTGCCTCTCCTGAGCAAGCTTCTGGACGATATCTGCAACTCCACCAACGGTGCCTATGCTTTGCATGGTGCCACTACCAGACAGGAGATATCCGTCTCAGAAATCTGGTTTACTCAATCCTCCGTGAGTTCCAAGTTCGCCCATGGATCGCTGAAGGGTCGGCGGATCGACGAGATCGTTGAGGAGCTAGCAGAGGGCAGGCTGAAACCTTCCGATTTGCCACTGACGGCTGTGAAGTTCGATGCGGTATACTGGACCTTAAACAATCGATCTCTGTATGCTCTGAACAGTGCTTCGAGACGGCTAGGAGGCGCCCTGCGAGCCTCAGTCGCTACCTTTGAGGAGATGTGCCCTGCAACGGCCAAGTTCATCCAGCTGAAGTGCAGCTCCCTCATGGCCCAGAAGGATGCGGAGCTATCTGCCGAGGGGTCTGAGATGGAGATCTTGGAGCTGGAGGACCCAGGGCAGGGTGCCTCCGCCTCAGAGGTGGGGCGGGGACGGGCGGTGAGTTTTTGCAGCTTAGTCCAGTGGTGTTGCAAGGTCCAGAGCTACGAGCCAAAGCTCCAGCAAAGCCGAGTCAAAACCGCCAGAAACCCTAACCCTGATCCAGCAAGGGTTGGCCAGCAGCTAGATCGTGCGGCTCCCTGTTGCCTCTGGCTGATTCAGCCCTCAGGCTGAGGACCAACTGCCCCAGTATGATGCAGCGGAGGAGGAGATGCTGGAGTTTGGTGGAGGCACCGACGCCGTACAAGCCCCTGCCTGAGGTCCTGAAGCGGCTTGATCAAATCGGTCGCTTCGCGGATCGCGACGGATTTGACGCAAGGGCAGCTGCGGAAACAGGAAAAGGTGACCGGGGCGGTGTTTGGGATCCTCTCTGTGCTGTGCTGTGCGAGCTGTGCGAGCTGTGCGAGCTGTGCGAGGCGGACGCTTCCCAGGGCCGAGTGGAAGCGGCCGAGGACGAGGACGCCAGACATCGCTAGACGCTAGTAACGACGCTAGCGGGGAAGCTCGGGCCGCTGGGCCTTGGCCGGAAGGGCTTTGAGTTTTGAAGGTTGCAAGAAGTTCTTCGGAACATGCGCGTGCGCAGCTTGCACTTGCAGGCAGAGCGGCGAATCACAGCCTCATCAGACGAGGTCACGTCCTCGCTGCAGCTTCCTGTTCGGCTGGGCTCCAGAATGTCTTGCACATCTTCTCTGCTCAAACAGTTGACCGTTGATGTGATGCTTGGGGGTGCCTAGAAGGAGAGTGAGGGAGAAAGGAAAGCAAATCAAAGAGCGACAGATACACCGCATTTCCGATGCCACGGCACGGAAAAACTTCAAAAGAACTGTGCCCCGATTCAGGCAAGCAAATTCGGAGTACACCCGCGCAAATCCATGGCGCCCCGAAGCAAAACAAATACCGGAGAACCAGGCGGGCCGATTCAGAAATGGGGCCACCGATTCGGAGAACAGTGTCGGAAACGCCGAGGACCGACCCAGAAGCAGCGCCGAAGCATTCTCCTGCTGCTGCTACTGCTTTCGCTTGGACCGGCTTGCAGCCCCACAACCCTGCAAAGCCCTGCAAAGCCCCTCTTTTTTGAGTTTTGCGCTTGGCCCACGAACGTCTGCACTTGAGGCGTCGCGATTGCTTCCCAACATCTGCTTAGGGTTTGGGGTTTCCGGAGTTACTACTGCTGTTTAGGGTTTGCCAAGCAAAGTGTCTTTTTTGTGGGCAGCCAATTTTGTCTTTTCGGGATTGGGGTTTGCCAATCAATATTTCCGTTTCGTGTTTAGGCTTTTCTTTGCAATTTACATCTTCTTTTGGGGTCTTGGGTTTGTCATCGTCACCCAACATCTCCACTCGTGCATTCGGGGCCGCCTCAACATCCGTTATGGAGGGCTGAGGACTTGCTACCCAACATCACTTTTCTGCTGCCCAACACAATCAGAACAAAAAGGCGGTAAGGCTACGCTTTCCCGACCAACATTTCCCTTTCAGGTTGCGGGCTTAGCGAACAGTTTAGGGTTGGGGGCTTTCCAACCAACATCTCCTTTGGGGGTTTGCCACCCAACTCTCAGGGTTTGCAATCCAGCGTAGTTAGTATAGTATGCATTGTACAATGCACAAGAGGGCTGACCGGGGATCTCATTATTTTGGGCGGCAACCAGACCGGCAAATTTAAGCGTGGTCTGCCTGCCTGGATTCGGGATTCCAAGCTCTTGCTTACGTGAAGGAGGGTGTGGCGGGGGGAGGGGGGGTTAACATGAAGTATTGTTCCATACTTTCAAGAGGATGCTCACCCCGTCGACCATCATCGCACTTGATGCCCTCATCCTGGCCAGAAGCTGTGTTCCCGAGACACCCGCTCGCCGTTACTGTTTTCGGATTTGTCTCCAGTGGTTCCCGAAACTGTTTTGTGTGTTGACGGGCAAGGCTTGTGAATTGCACGCAGGCAGCCGGCATCAGCGCTCCGAGAATCATGGGTCCGGAAGGCCCAAGCCCAGCCACCCGTATTCGCTTGTGTGTTGGGAAGCCCGAGGAACTTGGCAAGCATTTATCGTGACGGGCCTTGATTGCGAGAGTCGCTTAATCGCTGCGCGAGCACAGCTTACAGTTCCTAGAATGCTGAATCCTGCATGCTGCCCTTGCAGAAGTTCGGGCAGGCTTTGCAATCCACTCACGGCCCAACGCAGCGTTGCGACGTCGAGAGGCCTTAAACCAACAAGGGCCAGGACCCAACTCTTGTTTAGGGCTGCCCCCGCATTTTTACAGGGTCTTACCCACAAATCCAAACTTGTAGCTCCTCTGTGTGAAAGCCGTGAGGAACCAAAAGCTTGGCTTCGCAGCAGAAGGGCTGCGGATCATTTATGGGCGACCAAAATCGGCGCGTCTCTCCAGTTGAACCAGTTCTTGAGCTTTCGTTGGAAGAATGCTTGTGGGTGTTTTTTCATGTTGAGCCGATTATCCCTCCAATTCAGGAATTCAAGCAGCAGCGTGTAAGCGTACTCGAGCTGTTTGTGCTGAACTCGTATCTTCTCCGCTCTTTTCCGTTTTCTCTTTTTCGCCTCTGGTTTCTACGAAGAATTCAGCAACATCTAGCAGCGCATGCCTTCTTTCTGCGCTACCTATCTGAGTGTCTATTTGTCCATTCCCTATCTATATTTTGTTCTAGATGTACATATCATGCCATCCGTGGGTTCACTTGCTAGCTGGCGATACTTCGGGTTTTCTCACATGTGCTGTCTTTCGAGGTTTCGCAATTCGTGTGGCCCGAAGTCTATGCTGCACTTATGTTGGAGTTGGAGTGTACCGCACACATACAATCCATTCATGTGTTTTTTCCTTGTCGACCTGTCCAAATCCTATATATGCTATGTAGTGGCCACACAGATGACGGCTTTGCATTTATGCGCTGGACATGCAATACAGTGCATAATGAAGTGTTGCTGTAGTAGGCAGTATGTCGCGCATGATGGCAGATGGAGTCTGTGTGTAATGACAAACCTGTACTCGTAGTAGGAAGTGCAGCAGGTAGCAGGTACACGGTGCACACGACAGAAAAAGAGGCAATATACACGTAAGAAGTTAAGCACGACCTCAGGCAGCAATATCGGTTTATACTGCTGGGCAGCAGGCCTCGCGTCACGTTTAATCAGATAGTTCTCGCCCTACAACTAGGTAAGGCAGGCTGGAAGAAGCCGCCGAGGCTTGCAAGACCCATGCCACTGGGTGTCCATGTCGCAGCACATAGTCAATGACAATATCAACAATATGTGATGCTTGTAACCTCAGGATGTTACAGTCTATGCATATGAGACACTCAGAATCCGGATGCATGAGCATGTATTTCTATGGCATGAGGACATAGAACAGGCCTAGAACGGAAAAGCCTCCTCAGAAGTTCTCAGGCCATGCCGGAGACTTCAACCCCTCAGCCCTTTGCGTGTGTTGGGTCGTGCGCAGCTATCACGGACGCACCGCACACAGCCAGAGAATCTCCCAGAAGCTCCCGAGCACCTGTCAACACGAAGCGGAAAAAGCAGAAGAAGCTCAGGTCAAAGGAAGCTGAACTAGAACTGACGGCTCATGGCACTCTGAGCCTTGCGGCTTCAGCCACCAGCCTCACCCCACTAGCCACTCGATAAAGCATCATCTTATTTCACAAGGTATGACTGACTGGTTGCACGACGCCATGTGTCTCCATGGGCCGCAGCTCCTCGAGTGATTCCACATCCAAGGCCTGTCACCAACTGTGCCACCACGGCAGTGTGTTGCAACTCCTCTCAGAGACTCAGACATGCACGATTCAGGCTGCTAAAAAGAATGGCGACAAGAAGGCCAAAAAGGCCTCAAAGAAAGAGGTGCCTCACTGCAGCTTCATGAATGTCTGCCATGTCCGGCATGTCACGGACATTCGGAGAGGCCAAAAAGGCCAAAAAGGAAGCGAAGAAAGCAAAAAAGCTTGCAAAGCAGATAAAGAAACTCGAGGAGGAAGTGGAGAAGCGGAAACGCCAAATCAAAGGTGAGGTGCAGGCCTAGATGCAAAAACAATTTCATAACGTCGGGTTTGCTGCTATCGTCATGACTTGGACAAGGAAAAGAAAAAGAAGAAGAAGTCTTCATCCTCCTCGTCTTCTTCATCTGCCAAGAAGCAAAAGAAAGGCTCCTACAGCCTGCGCAGCGTTGTAGCGAAGCCGCTGCGAGATTTGTTTGTCAAGTTGGCGCCAGGCTCCAATAGGCCTCTGAACGAAAGTGCCGAGCAGCCGCCCGCACAAGAGGACTTGCTGCCATGGGCTTCGTCTGTTGGGAGTTTACTCGTCTTCGCTTCAAAGGAGCATGCCGTCAGCCAACCACAGGAGGAGCCCGATGCACTCGCCTCGGACACAGTAAAGTCAAGACAAGTCCCGCCAAGGACATGCAGTGGTTGGGCGGTGACCTGGGCTTCGAAGAGGAAAAGTCACCGGAACCCGAGCAACCCGAGCAGTCCAGCTCCGAGGAGTCCAACCCAGAGGTTCACGAGGCAGTCTGCGACCACTGCGCGATGGAGCCGATCGTCGGTCCTCGCTTCAAGTGTGCGATCTGCGAGGACGTGAGCCTCTGCAGAAAGTGTTACAAGCGACGCCAGGAGATCCACAGACCCAGCCACCGTTTCTTCGCGATGAAGCCCATGAAGCACGAGAGTCACGAAAAGCTCCAGAGAATTCGGGGAGATGGTGACGGCGCTGACCATATGACCACGGAGGTGGCGAGAGCTCCGAAGGGCCCCGTTCCAGCCACGGACGCTTCAGGCGCCGCTGCAGAGCAGGCAGGCCCTCTGGGCTCTCTGGGCCCTCTGCACCCTCTTGGCTTTATGGCTCTCGCACCGGCGGTTCCTGCGCCCATTGTCCCAGCCGTGGCACAAGAAGTAGCATCGCAGATGCAAGCACGCTTCCTCGACATGGGAAAGACTTATGCGCCTCGTGGCAGCACGAAGAAGGCAATTAGCTTGGCTGCGCCCTTGCAGATGGGAGTTCTTGAGTGGGTTAGTGAGTGAGCAAGCCGGAGGGATCGAGTGAGCGATCGAGTGAGTTTACATGGGATAGAGTTGTGGGATGGTAAACTGACACGTCTCCCAGCGCGTCCTGAAGCCTTGCGACGTCAGGAAAAGTTGGCAGGACACGGCTATGTTGCTAAGCTGTTGTGGCCCCCCCCCCTCCCCCCCCCGAAGCCTCATCGTCTTGCAGGAGTCCGTCCCGTTGCTGCAAGACCCTTCGAAAAAAGCCATAAAGGCCAGTCCCCAGTTTTGCTTGCTTACTTCTGTGCTCGACCTCGCAGAAGAGCATGCCGATCAGGTGCCCAAGCCGGAGCCGGGCACAAAGGTCGGCAAGCAGATGCTCCGTGGTGCAACTTGCGGCCTTTGCCTTCAACAGGCCGGAGATCGGGTTGCCCAACCCGTCGGGTAACATTAGCAGCTCATGGCTTGTTGATTCGAGGTAGTGGACTCCGCATCTTGGCTATGTCATCATGCAGTGGCAAAGTGCCTGGCCCTATCGTGCAGCGTGCTTAGTTGTCGGAGATCTTGCGAGGAAAGCGGTGTTCTGTGCTTCCGGATTCGGGCGGATGGGACAGCTGCTGGTCTGGACCTCATCAATGTCGGCTGGATCGATGCAGATTGGGGCTCTCAGAGCTGTAGGTCGCTGTAGGTCCTCAGGATCACTGACACCTCGCAGGGATTTGGCATGCGAGTTCGTATAGAGGTCATGCGGTGTCTGCACCATGCCACAAACATAGGTATCTCCGAAACTAGAGAACGCACTGCACGGCGCAGCAGCGAAAGGTGCGAATAATTGCCAGAAAGTAGGGTCACAGTCCGCGCACTCCCTGTGCGTGGCCTGGACCAATGCCTAAACGTGTCTCAAGCAGGAAGATCAGAGGAGACCGGGCATAGCAGCAGGGCCGGTCGGTGAACATGCCACCTGAGTCTCAGCACAAAGGAGGGAAAAAGTTGGCCTGGGTGGTTTGTTTTTGCAGTTCGGCGCATGCTTCTGCGAGCCTTAGGTTGCAGCAAGAGCGTGTGCTTCCCTTGCATGGCCCGCGCATCCTCCCGCATGTTTGGAAAGGCAGGGCTTGTGCTGAGCCGTCGCATTTTTTGTAAAGTCAGTTTGGGCAGGTCCGTGTGAACAAGGAGATCTGGGTGGCCATGGGGGCACAGGCTTGGTGGATGCACGAGCGGTGCATGACAGCAGAAGAAGTCACGGAGCACGCTGAGCTGGTGAAGTCAGCAGCCTCAGAACGGCCGTTGCATATCCCGGGTCCGGAGCTTTCGGGAAACCTCAGGTCCACGGGCTTGGAGGAAAGCCTCAAGGTGAGTGCAAAGCTCCCGAAGGGCTGGATCAGCAAGATTTCCAAGACCACTGGCAAGGTTTACTACGTCAACGAAGCTTGGCGCTGACCAGAACTTGCTTCAGTGCATGGAGACGGGCAGTCGACATTCCTAGGCTGAGTCAGAGCGTGTGCAAGCGCTGAGGCAAAGAAAGGGAAGACACAGTGGACGCTGCCAGAAGAGGAGGTCGAAGAGACCGAAGAGACCCACACAATCCAGCCCCAGCCTGCCGCGCACCCAGCATCTAGCTGCTAGGTTTTCTGTTCCGGTTCAGGCTAGTCTCACTACCTCTGCATGGCAGGATGAAGTGTCGAAAGATGAAACTGAAGACAATGGAGCCGAGAAGCCGCAAAACGGCCAGGAAGAGCTCACAGAGCTTTGACTTTCACGTTGTACACAGCTCGTAGCGGGGCAGCCAGCGCCTCTGGCCACTGCTTCTGGTACGGAGTAAGATTGTGGGCTGAAAGATTTTTTGCATCGCTCTGAGATCTTGTTTGGTTTTGCTGGATACCTGAAAATGAAGAGCCTCTCTCGATGACGACGATGCATGGTACCGTGGCTGTGTTAGGATCCTGGCTCGTGATTCAGAGTGCCCGTTCGCGCCGCGGCTGGGACCCTCCATCCTCCTTGCAATGCCTCGGCAGCAAGGGGCTCAGAAGATGACGTTTTCTCTTCCGTATCCTGAAAGACTGACCGTGGGAAGCTGACACGCACCCACAAGGTATCGCCTGTCCACGGCTTCGGCTTACAGCATTTATGAGATGTGCCACGGCCAGTGCCTAGTAAAGCTTTTCTAGATTCACGGAGCTGCCTGATCTCTTTTCCGCAACAGCGAGAACTGTGGGGTTTTCAGCCACAATAAGGTTTGGGGCAGATTGGGGCTCAGGTTCCGGCGGTTTCATGGCGGGGGGCAGGGCGAAAGTTCCCGAACATGGCAACCCATTTACAGCTCTGTCAGCCTTTTCTGGTGCCATATAATGTGAACCCAACGACATCCCCATTCCGCTGTTGGGGATGTTCGATGGGAGTATTTGCATCGACGTTTCTGTTTCGATTGCTAGGTACGCCGAGGACTGGTCGGCCCTCCCAGGGCACGATGGCGAAGACAGAGATGACTCGGAGGCAGGCCGTTGCTAATGTACATGTGCCAGGCTTTTCTGTTTCGTTTCATCCCGCAGACGGCCTTCTCGCTTGCAAGCAAAGCATGCACTCACGAGCCTGGGCCCAAGTAACAAGCTGTTTGGATTGGCTTATGTGCGACATTGAGGACAGGCTCGGTCTTTGTTTCTTCGCCTGCACACAATGCCTACTCGTAAGAATGTCTGACAGACAACGTTTCAACCCCAAAACCATGGGTCGCCTTTGGCTCCAGGTGTCGAAGAACTGCAGGGCACACAAGACATTCAGCAAGCATGTACAGTAGAGTCAGTCTTTTCAGCCAAGCTCAGTTGTTTACATCTCGTCCTCTGCAGAGTGGAACTTGAAGCGTCCCGTGCACCTGGTGCCAACATGGCTTTTCAGCTGCATGGACGAGCTCGGCTCCCAGTTTGGTTCACCGGTTTCTCGGTCCTGCGCCTCCTTTCTGTGCAGGTCAGGCTTCTCGCAAGCAGTCGAGGCTGCTCCGCTTTCAGAGCTCTGCAAGCCAAAAACGACACTTTCCCAACTGCTGCAGGGCTCCCCATTCTCCCGTGATGTCCAACGATGTGTGTCCCGTCAGCAGCGGGTTTCGGGGGTGGGTGGGGGGGGGGCCTGCCGCGACCTTTGCTTCCGCTCAGGCACCGAGTTGACATCTCCGTTCCGGGCCAGGCCGGGTCCCAAGGAGTTCACGGGCGTTCGGAGCAAGTCGTGGCGCAAAAGGGCGCGAAATGGCGATTTCGATTTCTCCAGGTGCCAATTGCACCGGAGGACCATGCGGAGTTGGAGGCCACGCTGCTACAGGATGTGTCAGGGTAAAGCAGGACATGCAAACAGTGCACAATTCCGAACCGCAGCCACCTGCAGCTTAAAACTGCGAACATACTCGTCTCATCAGCAACACACATGTCTGTGTTAATCCCGAGTGGCTGCAGCCTGCAGCATATGTCTGAAGTACTCCTGGCTTACATGCTTGCTTGTGCAGCCCGAAATCTCCGATCGTTGCAGTGTAGCAGACGTGGGTGTCCCGTCGCAGCAGATCATAGCTAGAGGTCGAGCTTTCCACATCCAGTTTGGGTTGCAGGCTTTACTTTCGAGCCACTGATTTGTCCGAATGCCGCATGCGCTGGCGATGGCGACGATTCCTGGTTCCAAGCCTTGCGACCATTGCAGGACTTTTCGGGCTGCTGTGGCTGTGAAAGCCAGCAAAACAGTGAGAGGTGCAAGGCCAGTTTGAACGAATAACACACAAGGCGTGATGGGGAGAGACAATGCAGGTAGAACCAGGCTGAAGGAGATACACATCTCGAAGAAGGCGGTGGATTGCATTGACTCCATGCCATGACTCTACTAGTTCTAGCCGCCAAAACAGAAGCGAGACACTGCACAACAATTTTCGGGGTCGGAATGACCTGTCAAGTTTCGTTTGTCTCATTCTGGAGAAACAGTGAGCGATTTCCGCGGGCATGGCCTCTGAGGAGAGGGGGCACGGCGAAAGAATCGAAGCAAATGCGTGAGGTTTTGGTTGCTGTGCCGGCACCGAACTGGGGATGTGGATGGGGATGTGGATGGTTGGGGGCATGATCTCGTGGGCAAGCAGGTGCTTGCGGTGGCGGAAGTCTTGCCAGGCGTGCTTGAACTGTTCTACACAGGTCGTACGTGGCATCACGCAGGGCGGAGCACGGGGTGGTAGGGTTTGAAGAGGATTTCTTAAGCCATGGACATGTTGTTTTGACGGAGGAGGCTTGGCGCTGCTGGCGCTCTGGGAAAACTTCAGCTGGCTCGACCGCTCAGGCAGGAGGAAGGCACAAACATTGAGAGTCACGGTCGGCTTGCAGGGCCGATGACAGGTGCAGAGCATGAGGCCGTGGCCGTGCAGGCGGAGTTGAAGGCGCGGCTTCAACGCCTGGAGAAGAGCCACCAGGAGACCTTCGGAGACTTACGAAATCAGGAAGTGGTCGCAGCCCAGTGTCCCCAGTTGCTTCGCTTCTAGTAGTGATTTCCCCAGTGTTGTCAAGGATGAGGTGGCGGACCTTCGGCGCGAGATTTCTGAGTTGAGGCACGGGCAGCGCCAAGCCCAGGCGAGGTATCAGGGCGTGTGATTGCTGAGTCTTGCAGGGCGGCTATGGCATCGAAGCCTTCCCTGCCACGGGCCACGGACGTGGACGTAGATCCTCCGGACCAAGCCACCTTGCCGGCTAGTCGGGAGGGGCTTGGTGCAAATCGAGCTCAGACCCTTGAGGCCTCGTCCAAGGTGCCCTGGCAGTCTCAGCCAAAAGAGGCTGCGCAAGGTCTTTGCAACATCTTTGTAATGTGGAACTATCCCAGCGGGCCGCCGCTGCAACACAGCTGCACTTGATACATGTTCTGCATGCTGCAGGGCACCAGCTCGCAAGTCTTCATATTGATATCACGTCATGCTCAGGTTCATCTCGAAGAACTTGGAGTCCTGGCTGCACTACTCGCATGGACGTTGCCACTTCCCGTGGATGATCAACGATACGAATATCCGAGTGCCCTAGCTTCATGGGCTGAACCTCATACGCAGCAAGGGGCGGCTTTCGATGTCAACTGGCATTGCTTCTGCAGGCTTTTATTCCGGATTTGCCAGCAGAGTTTGAGCGCATGCCATACGACGCCGCCAAGTCTGACATTGTCCGGTGCGGCGAATGGTATGCATGAGAAATCCGAAGCAGGGTGCACACCATCTGTTTCCGGCTGTCATTCTTACATGCTGTGTGAGGTACGCACTGCTGTATCACCATGGAGGGATGTATTTGGATACTGACCACGGCTCAGCTTGTCATTCAAAAGCCCGGAGGTTTTGGTCATATCTCCAACTTTGCCGGACGGCCGAAGATCGCGCTTGAGTCTCTCAGGATTTTCTTGTAGCCAAAGACTTGGCCCCTATTCTGGATCGCATCAATGACCACGACCTGATCTCCTATACGACCTCGGGCCAGTCATGTCGTCGCGGCAGTTTCAGCACCTCGAAGAACATGGGAGTGCAGACTGGCATTTCTGAGCGTCGAAAAAAGCCCAGGCTCCAATTTCCTCGCTGGCCGGAAGGGCAGCTTGCTCTACAAAGCCGTGTGGGAGGGCCAGAAGCAAGTGCTTTGCATGCAGAAGAGCAGAGAACACCCTAGGGCGGTGACACAACACATCCAGAACGACCAGATTCAGCTGCTAAGGCAATGACCAGCCATTGTGATGACTCTCTTAAGGCCAATGAAAAGAAGGCCGGGCAAGGTTCCAACTAGAGCTTGTGACAAGAGGAACTCAAGGCGGGCGACGGATTGGAGTCTCCTACATCCCCACGTGAGATCCCCGCACTTTGCGCAATAAAGCCATGCCCCGCGAAGCGGGAAAGGGGCCGGGATCATTCGACAGGCTGTTTTTTTTGCACGGTGCCGCCAATCGGCTCCGATCAGATCCTACAGAGCGGGGAACTTGCTCAAACATCAGGATCACTTCGTCATCAATCACAAGACCAAACAAGTGAATTCAGATGATGGGCGGCGACCACAAAACCCAAGAAAAGAGTGACTGGCTTTCCCAAAATCCAATCGACTGGTCGCCCAAGAACCCAAAAACCGCCTACTAACATCTACTGACCGCACCTTGGAATCATGGGTTAATTTTTTCTAATTTCAAATAGCTCGTTCAGCCCTATAGGCCCACAAGGGGATCCGATTCGCAGCCATGCTGAGTCGAGTTTCTGCTGGCCGGATGGTGTTTGCTGATCCTGTTCCAGCTTGGCACATTCGAAATAGGTAAACCGCTACGGGTTTCCAGCTCCACTGATCACGTGGCAGTTTTCCTGACGACACAAGTAAGAACAACGACCGTGAAGGGACGAAGTCAGTGGCCCAATAAAGGATTGCAGCCAGGTCTGCTGTGCGGATGACGTAACACGCCAGTGTCACATCCCGTGGGCTGGTATTGGGGAGAACATAGCCCACCCTGTGCACCTCGGAGCGCGATTGTCCAGCGTTTTTGGGTTGCATGCATGCATGCATGCACCCTGTGCATTGAAAATCCGAGGCTAAAGGATCTGCTATCCAAGGGAAGAGCGCTGAAGATTCATTGTTTCGAAGGCTGACCTTCCGTGCAGCGGTGCTCATGGTGCTGGTGTGCTTTTTGAGTGCACTTGCTGGTGCTGTTGGTACCGGTATCGCGCCCCCTCCCCTGCCGCTAGTTGCATTTCCAGATCACGCAGAGTAATTTATTGGTTCCGGCATACCTCTCACGACGATGTTATAGTACTTGTAAGTGAGTAAAAGCCAGGCCACGTTTCCAGATGCTGAGTGCAGGTGACGAGAGCTTCGTGCCAGGGAACTTCCAAATGATTATAGAGAAGACCCCCTCTCTCCAAAGTGCAGTGCCTCGGTACGTCGTTCAGGACATGCCTCCAATGCCTGCCCTCCCTGCAAGTTTGCCCGTTGCAAGGTCCAGGCTTTTCAGCGTGGCGGCGCAAGAGCCTTTGCCATTTCCACCGGGTGGTTTTTGCTTGACAGTGCGGTGGTTAAGCAAAGCAGGGCTGAAGCGAACAGTTGCTTGTGAGAAGAGGAGGTGTTTGTAGCGGTTTCGCCCAAGGTGAAGAACCCTATGGATCGGATCATGTACCATTTGTTTGCATCCCTGGGCTTCGCTGCAAGATATGATGGTGCTGCGCTGTTTGATGAATCTACATTCGTGGGAGCTCTGTTCCGCGCCCTGGCCAAATGTGGTCGCCCTGGAAGAGCTGTCCTTGTGCTGTGCTGGTGCAAGGCAAGAGCGTGGGCAGTTTCACTGCAAGGGCCTCGGGCCTCGGGTTTGCGAGTCAGTGCAGGGGTGCAGGGCAGTGCAGGGTGCCTCATTGCCTCAGTCCTTGGCAGGAGATCCCCCGGGATCCTCTGGAAGATGGGCCCGGTGCCATTTGTGCAAGTGACGGCGGCATCTGCCAGTGTAAGGGCAAAGCACGGCTCCCAGATGTAGCCGGGACGTGTCCGCGCCGGAGAGAAAGAGAGAAGGAAGGAAGAGATAGATGAAGCAGGAATGGCGAAGACGCGGGACTGGAGACATGCTGAAGTGAGGTCTTCTTCGGCCGGCGTTTCGTGAACGACCAGACTGAGCCCAAGGCTGAGCTAAAGGATCTCGTGAAAAGGAAACACGCTGTCAAAGATGTAGACGGGGAAATCAGCTGCACGGTGGCCGTCTTCGGAGACCCTCTTTTCACGGTGCCAAAGCATTGCATCTGCCAGCCCGGGTCTTCGAAGGAAAAGAGTGCTTACGCAAGTTTGTGCTGAGCAGTTTGCATTGAAGTGCCTGGTGACGGCACGCATCCTCCGCTGCTCCGTTGAATGTGATAGGCTTCCACTGCGCGGGGAGGCGAGAACATGTGGGCTGTAGTCTTTCCATGTCTTTCCTTGACTGAAATGCTTCGATATTGGGACTTGGGATTGCGGAATCGTGATGTTCCGTTTACATGGAATTAAACGAATGCCCATGCCAATTCGACGCTTGATGCGTCCAAAGCTGGGCCTAGCAGAGTTTCTCGGTTTAGGCTTAGGGCAGAGCCTTCGCCGGTGCCGCCTGGTGCTTCAAGGTGACAGCCTGGCACGCTCTGAGACCGCGGATACCGGAGCCACTGCCTCTGCCATCGCTACCTTGCCATTCCGCTTCCCCATGATCCGAGAGACCGAGATGCAAACCCAGGTCTCTGACCACCCGAAGCTGCAGCCACGCAGTGTTTGGGGACCCGCCAGGATGTTTGTGCATTCAGCCTTCAGCTGTGCACGCTGACCTCATAGACAGCCGTAGTGCAGGAGCAAGCCACCTGCGAAGCCGGACAAGGCATGGCACGTCAAATCCCGGGGTGCCTCCTTATGAGTCGGAGCTGACTACTGAGCGTTGAGACCTTGAAGTGGGCAGCAGAAGCCGACAGGAGGTGGCGACGCTGACGCTTCCCTCGGAAGGTGGGAGGAATGCAACTAATCAGAGGGTCCCTCCCTTGCCGCTGCACCCAGGATCGGTGGGACCGGTGCCACGAGGACGGAGCCAGCAGGGGGTGCTGGAGAAGGTTCTGTCGTCGGAGAGCGCCTTAGTCAACGGCTGGGAGGATGAGATTCGGAGCCTCTTCTGCTTTTTCCAGCATTAGATCGTGACAGATGGCCGTGGTAGTTGTCTTACGCTGCAGACTGGCACCGAGGATGTGGTGCCGGGCTCTCTGTGAAGACTGGCGCTTCCTGACGCTGACCACCGTACTGACCTTTGGTGCCCTTCTCGGGGATGACCTGCGGCTTCTGGCGACAGGCCTGGATGTTGCATGCACTGGCAAACGCAACGGGCAGACTACTTCTTGAGCGTGCAGGCAAAGAAGCTGACAATTTCTTCAACGTCTTGATTGTTGTGGCCTTTACCGTTTTCACAGTGGAGATCATAGCGGCTTCCTTGGGCGATCGGTCCTACCTGTTTAGCTTCTTCTTTTACCTTGATGCTGGGATGCATTTATCGTGATTCAATCCTAGGGAGGCAACCAGGTGGCATGCATGCTGATGCGCTTCCGTCCGCGAGCATCGTCTTCTTGAGGATACGCTGGCAACTGTGACCATGCTTGTAGACCTCACTTGGTTTGGAAATTTGCTCTACTGCAAAGACTACAGCTCGTTTAGCCCCTTGGAGCACTGAAGTCCGAGTGTGTTTTGGGACTCAGATCTGCATCGTCCGACGATAAGGCGGTGCAACAGCAGGCAGCTTGGAAGGAGCAGTCGCAACCCTGGCCGACACTCGTGCAGCGCGGACGGTTCGCATCCTGCGGCAGCTCGCCTGGCACCGACGATTCGGTTGATTTTTGCAGCTTCATTTTGCAGTTGAGGCTCATACGGCTTGGGAAGTTTCTGGGCTGCATCACCGCAGATGCAGGCACCCAAGTCGATTCCAATCTCTGGCTGAGGCTGTACAAGTTTTACCAGCGGGGCATGGAGATTGCCAAATCAACCGAGCGCCTCTATGCAGTTCCTCCGGGCAATCCCAACGAGGCCGCGGGTGTGGCGGTAGACGCCGGAGATGCAGCAAGTAGCGCCGGTAGCGCCCACTCCGGCCCTTCGGAAGGAGATGTGGGACTTGACGGAGTCGGGCTACCACGACAACAAGGAGGACTCAGAGATCGATGGCCAAGCAGAAACCAGATGCTCAATGGCACATACCTGACAGCCCGTGGCATGAGCAGGCATGAACTGGGGCTGCACCGAGGAGTTGGTAAGAAGCTCTCCAACATGACCTCGAGAAGGGTCATCGTGCTGACTCTCATTATGCTCTTCTGTGCCCCGGATCTAGTTTAGAAGCGGGCCATTCTCGACACACGGATTGCTTGAACGCAGATGTGGCATCAGGTTCCGACTTCTTCAACGCGGAGAGCTGGGGACAAGAGTTCAAGAGCTCTGGGGCTATGGGAGCGGACCTTGTCTACGAGCTGATTGCCTGCATATGCACGCCACAACATCACTTCTCACATGTCTTCTCAGACTTCTCCCTGTCTTGTAGCAGAAGATGCCCCATCGGCTGGCAGAATGTGGCTCAGGCGATTTCGATCCTGGTGCCCTACAGCCATTCCTGCTCCTGGGCATCGAAACAGAACCTAGAATCCCGCAGCCAATCCTTTGCTCCGAGAAAAGCTTAATATGTGGTCGGGGCTGGTGCGGTTGCAGAGCATATGCTTGGCTCTGCTGAGGGAATACCATGGTGCCTGCAAGCTTCTCCAGATGAGACTCCTGTCAACCCGGAAGAAGAGTATCTCAACTGCACTCAGCCGTCCACGTTGCAGTGGGTAGCTAGTAGTGTCAAATGACAGAAGCTTGCAGTTCCTGGGTGCCGCTGACGACAAGGCGCAGCTGGTACGAGCAGTACCTGGTGAACTTCGTTCGTAGCCACTTGAGCAGCTGGACGGCAGTAGCTAGCCACTGATTTCGTGTCTGTGAACCTGTGGGATGGTGTCGACGTGCGAGGCGGCTCGTTTGCGTGGCGTCGTGCTCTCAGAACATCTCCACAATCGTGACATTTCTGGCCACTGAACGTCGCTGCGGCTACAGGTTTGTACTGGTTGGGCGTCAAGTCTGAAACAATGCTGGCACACAATGGAAGTGAAACGACAGCAGAATCTTGGCAGGGTCGTGTTTGCGCAGAGAAGTGGGAAGGCTTGAGTGGGCGGTGGCGAGTGGCAAATGATGTCACGTGAGGCCTTCCTCGGTTCTCTCGGACGATTGAACCAAGATCGTTTTCTGGGAACGGCACTCCCCGAGGACGCAAGCGACTTCAGGAGAGCCTCCACTGAACACCCTTCCAGCGCAGGACGAGCTCTGGCGCTGGGACGAGTTCAGCTCCTGGGACCCACATGGGCCCATTCCAGAAGAGGCCCTCTGTCAAAAAGCGAGGACGAGGTGTCAGCTGAGGAGGGATGAGGTGGTTTTTGCGGAGTGCAGGTGAAGAAGCGCCTCGCAGATCCCTGGCGAGAGCAATGCCTGGGCTTCTATGGCGTTCCTGTCTCTCCCGAGAGTTTCTCGGACCCCAACGCCAAGCACACTTGTGTGCCTTGTGTGCCAGATTGTGCCAGTGTGCATGTGGCTTTGAAGGCCAAACCTTCACTTTGTCGACGGCCTGCTCTGTGACAGATACGCTCCGTTGCAACGAGGCCCGTCCGACCTCGGCCTCGCCTCCGTCGGCCTTCCGAATGCGTGAAGAGCCCTGCGCAGGTGCACTACAACACCCCCATGGCAAAGACCGGAGAGGAGAGGGGCAACGAAGCTTCACAGCATGGAGCGGTGTCATGAAGTGTCACTCAGCTGCCCGTTTGTGTCATTGGAACCCAAGCAAGCAGCTGAGGTGGATTTGCTATTCGCCTTCGACACACGGCCGGTAACGCAGAGTGCTGCTGGCTTGAACATGCCCGTTCCTCAAAGCGATTCGCCGATTCGCCGATGCACCGCCTCCCTCGCTGTCTTGCTTCTTGCGCAGGCTGCAGACTTGCTTTATTTGTCTCGCTTTGGCTGCCGGTGCGATCTCCTTCGCACGGGACGCCCATGCACTGCTCCTGGGGCCACTCGAGCGGATCCTCGTGAAGCTCGAGGCAAAGAGAGCCGAACTTCCGAAACATCCCCACGGAAGTGCGGCATGCGCTGCTTCAGAAACGAGAGGCCATCAGGAAGAACCCTCTGCATGCGATGAAGCTGGGTGACATCGACTTCAGGCCGGTCGCTGTCGGTCTCGCCTTGGCCTGCGACTGTCTCTATGCCGCCCCTGCGTAGGATGCAAGAACTTGAAGAGGCCGAGGAGGCCAACAGGCAACAGGTCGGCAAGATCTTTAAGCATTGCTGAAACTGTCAAAAGAACTTCGTAAGATGGAGCGAGACCATTGGACCATGGTGTGGGAGTTCGGGAGTTGCTGTGGTTCCGAGTTCTGAAGCCAATGCCAGTTGAGGAACAACGGGCTGCAGGAACAAAGGGCAGACGGAGTAGACAGTTGGCTTGTTTGGTCGTAAGTTCGGCCTAAGGCAAGGATGCTGTCGGAAGAAGAAGGAGACCAACGATTTAGAAACGCTCGAGACAGCGATCTTGGAGAGGACGGGGGGGGGGTTGGACGGGAAGCGGGTTTGACACGCGGGCTGTCGTCGGAGAATGCCGGACTATCCTGTGCATCCTGTCCTGAAAGCTTCCAGGACCCTTATCAAGCTTGGTGGTCTGCTGGCGCTCGGCTTTGGAGAGGACAGGGAAGGGTGTTTCGGACACTTCGAAGAGAACATTGATTGCCCTTGCCCTGCGAGGCGGGCGCAGAGATCATCGTCCACAACATGCAGGGCGGAGCGACCGCCGAGCTGAACGCGATGGTGCCAGGCCAATTTGGGCCCTGGCTGCCATGGCTAGCCATCTTGCGCATAGTGCGATGCAGGCCAGGAAGTAGAGGCCGTGTTTGGCTTCTGCAGCATCCGCAACTTCACCGATGCCACTGACGTGCTGAAGGAGAAGGTGCGGGGGAGCAGGGGATGCCGCTTCTCGAAAGAGTGGGATTCGCAGTGTGAAAGCTCACTAGGTGATGGTCTTCGTCAACCAGGTCAGTGAGATCGTGCACGGTGGGGACCCCACCCAGTTTGGTTGTACAAGTGCCGGCCGGCTTTGCAGAACCACAGGCATTTGCGACACCTACCATGGCTCGCCCAACCAAAACATTGGCGGCAACTCTTTCCTGGTGGAGTCTTGACTTTGGATTGATAGCATGTCACAAGCGGCCACGCTTGCATGTAGGTGTTGCTGATCTGCAAGGTCTGGCGTTTGCGTGGGAAAGACGCAGAGGTTAGAAGCAAGATCGCAGACATGGCGGTGATGTCCTTTGTGGCGCGGCAGTGTCAGGAACGTGCACAGTCAAATGCAGCCATGATGCGTAACCGCGTGAATCTGCTCTCTTTCACACGCAGTCCGGGGTTGTGCGGGCTCGAGGTTTGCATCACGATCGAAGTGCAGAAGTCAAACATCCTGGCCACCTATCGAACTCACCCTGGGCTCCAACAGCGCTTCCCAGACTTCCGAGCCGGTGAACTCAGAGGGAAGAGAGAGGATCGGGACGGGTCTTCGCGAAGCTGTTTCGAGGTCTCACTAGGCTTTGGCCTGCACTGCGGCTGGGCCATTGAGGCTGGGCAAGGCTAGTTCCAAACTCTGGTGGTCGTAGGTTGTGCTGGCCCGCCCGTAGATGGCCTCAAGAAAGACGGTCAGATCCACAGAGCCGGCTTAATGCCGAAGCACCAGCGATGCAAAAGGAGAGAACTGGCTCTAACATGGCGAGAGTCTCGGACTCCACCGCCCCCCGAGCGCAGTGCTATTCAGGATGTTCCTGAGCCAGTTCAACTCCAAAACACGCAGCTAGAGGTCAAGAATGGAGGTCAATGATGGAGATGTTGGAGACAACCTTGATTCATGTGAGATGTCCAGTATCCAGTGTCCGAAGTAGCCCTGGGCCACAATCGAGGCCGCCAGGCCGATTGCGCAATTCGCGCTGATGGTCATGCATTGTCTTATACATCAAACACCAGTCTGGGGTCGGTGGGGTGCCGTCGTGCACTCGGGAACCGTTGTTGGGCTCAGGGCGCGATCGGCAGCGAGTACAAGATCGACGCGTCCTACTTGCCACTCAGCGGTCACAAGTTGTGAGCTACGGGCCGCGGGCCGCCTCGTTGCAGAGGTCTCCGAATGTGAACGTGGCCTCACAGCTCGAAGCGGCTTCGACACAGCTACAGCTCTGGATGCTTATGTCGAGCTTCATGGTGAAGCTCTGCTCCTTGATTGTATTCGACGCATGCTCGTAGCTGCTAGTATGCCAATCGCAAGCCCTGCTGTCGACTTGTCAATTGAGGCAGCAAGGAGCTGATGGAGTACCTTCGCATGGTCGACCATGTCATGCTGGAAGGCCTTGCGATACGTAAACCCAGTAAACCAGGTGTGCTCTTCGCATCTCTTTCTCACTCTCGCTCCGTATTCTTGTGCAGAGGCTCCAAGAAATGCCTGCGGCTTAGACCCGACAGGGAGCTTTGTTTAGTGGCCTCGATCCACTTCAGCTTCGGTTTGGGTTCATGCTCGGACGGCGCGACCGCATGGGGGCCTCTGAGGCTTGCGCCTCTTCACTTTGGACCTCGATCACGCGAAGATCCACGTGAAGCCACGACTGCGAGGCCGCAAGAAGGTGCGGAACCCTCACGAAGGAAGAGATGGGGAGAGAGAGAGAGAGAGAGACAGAGGCGGCGGAAGCCTCATTTCCTTCCCTGTGCTGACAAAGAGAACTTCGACCCTAAGCAGTGTCACACCGACAGCCCAACCTGGCCGTGGACGCTGGACGTACGCGGCCGCTGCTTTGAAGCCTCCACCACTCAGGACACCTTCAAGCTCCGCAGGAAGAAGGAGAGAAGGAGAGCGAGCGAGAGAGGCGGCAGAGAGAGCGAGAGAGTGTCTGCTCCAGGGCACGGGGGCACCGTCAGAGTCTGGGACTTTTTGCGGGATCTTTCCGAGGTCTACAACCGCTACAAGGTCAGACAGATGAGGGAAGCAGTAAAAAACGAGTGGCCTGGCTGCAGTCACTACTGGGACGGGCTTCGTTCGTCGACTCCTTTCGAGGCTGTGGACTGCAGACTTTAACTTGTGCGAGACGTTGGCAAACCACTCGGACTTCGTGGTGATGCGTGACTCCTACTCCAAGGAGCCCTGCATGTCTTTTTTTTTTGTTTTTGTTTTTATCCTTTGGGCATGCTTTGAGTGAGCCTCAGCTGAGGGAACTGCAGAGTGACAGGAGTTCTTCGAGAGATTCGCCGTGGGGTTTCGCAACTACGAAGCCGGTGAGTGGCTGGTAGCTCGGGACCTCTTCCTGACCTGCCACTACTCAGAGGCCTCGGTCTGCCTTTATTTGCAGTCTTTCGAATAGCAACTATTCCAACGGGCTTGGGCCAACCCGTTTTCGGTCAGGAGAGCTGCAAAAACAGCGACACGCAGCCACAGCCACGGCCACAAGACGGCCCAGTGCACGACCCAGGGACCGAGTGTACAGAAGCACATCTAAGCACTGCGAGCCAGAACTTAATTATCGCGTAGAAAACGAGAGTCGCTCAGCGAGCGCAGCAAACATTTTTTTGCTTCCGAAGGTCAAAGCCCTTCTGGGCTTCATGGAGAAGTCACTCGGCGCTTCAAGGAGTTTCTAAGTGAAAGCTTGAGATCTGGGAGCCCCCACGGCAGGTACGACTATGAGCCGCCTTTGGATTGGCAAGGGTATCGTCATCTCTAAGCAAACGAAGGCGACTGCCAGGGCGCGCGGTTTTTCCCATCCATGTTGGGCCAGCTAGGCTCCGTCTCGTCTCAAGCCCCTCAGATTTCCTCAGCACGTCCTCAGCCTCTGTCAGGATCGAAGATCGTCGAAGCGGGCGAAGCCCTCCGCAACATCTTCACCATTGCACCATGCATTGTCAAGATCTCGTGCCGGGTCCAAGAAGCGAGAACACTGGACGAACTAGTACTATGCTCGTCACTGCATGCAGTCTGCCATGGAGCGTAGTCAGTTTTGGACCTCGGTGGGCCTCGCCGGCAGCCGTAGATGTTGTTTTCACCGTCGGTTCGTTGCTTGCAGTTTCGCCACAGGCGGGTGCAAACACATATTCCGTAAAGCCATTACATGCTGCGACTCGCTGGCGGCCCAGGCATCTGATGGAATGCAAGGACAAATTCGAAATCACATTTTGCCACAGTGCAACAGGGAAAGCACGGCAGGTAAGATGAGAAGCCGTCTCAACGGAACACTTGCTACCAGTACTTGAGGTACACGGGATCGTCCGGAGCCAGCAGCCGAAAGCATGCCTGGTCCCACAACTTGCCATTTCTGAAGGTCCCAGTTTGATCGCCAGAATAAGTGAAAAAGTGGTTTCCAGGCAGCTCATTGAATGTCCTCTGTGAGGATAATAGCGTTCCTCATGGCAGTTCCTATCCTGCTTTGTCACAGCTCCTCGAAGGGGAGCGCTTGTCTCACATCTACCTATGAGAGTCAAGCAGCACGGTTTGTCACAGCCCGGTTTGTCACAGCCAGTGTCAGAGAGCAGACCTAGCAGACCTAGCATGCCCTGTCCCCAGCCACTGGCTGAAATGCTTGGATCTTGAAGCTGTGCAATCCTGGGGCTCGTCCAGCTCGACTCAGATTTATTCTGAATGCACCTCGTGCACTAAGTCGAAATGTGTTGCAGTGGATTGATGAGGAGCTAGCGAGGTTCTTGCGACACTCGCAGGCCATTCTTCACACAAAGTCCCCTGGCACGGGCATTGTTCGAACTAGCAACCGGACTCAGGTCCACGATGCCCTGCAAGCCAAGGCGGCTTTAGCTCTGATTTCGGATTGCTGCCTTGAACGCGTTGCCGGTTGACGCGGCTCACAAGCCTTCGGGGAGTGCCGGGCCGCATCTGAAGCAGGCTAGGCGAGTGGACCGTGGAGGATGTGGTGCACTGGTCTTTGACGACAACTTTGTCTCCAGAGGCCTGGTAAAGGGTTCTAAGCATGCAGGGTAAGGTCTAGGCACTCTGCAATCGTGCACAGGATGTCGCTGGCAGTAGCATGACTTCTGAACGACTGCATGCTGCCGGCCGTTTCTGCAGCTGTCTCCGACTAGCAGTGGCATGGCCTGATAGCTCGGCCTGGCCAGAACCTTACACGCTGACAGCTGACAACTGTGTTTTTCTGGGCGATTCAACCCAACAACCCGCACAAAACAAGAGTCACTGATCAAAGTGTCGAGATCAGGGATCAGGCCGTCCTTTGTTCAGCCTGTTTTGTTAGTTTGGTTTGGTTGGGTTTAGGTTCGCGTGGTGTCGACCTGATCCAGGACTGTAGTGATCCCAACTGTAGTGCCGAAAGACCTCGTCTGGCAGAGTCCGAGTTGCGAGAGCGTAAAGACGTCTCGCGGCAATTCAAGGCCAGATGGCAGCTGTTGGTGCCCAGCTCTTGGTCTTCTGAAGTCTTGCAGGGTGAAGTGAGTCCGTATTGTGCGCACTCGCCTTAGGTGGTGCTGTGGCCACTGCTGGCTTTCCTGGCTGTCTTCGTGTAAGGCGCTTAGGAGTGAGTGCTCCAGCCTGTAGAGTCATGAGCTGTAAAATATTGTAAAATTGTAGCCCGCACTTCTGGGCTGTAAGCATGTGTAGCTTGGATACTGCCTGGTGCAGACACGCCTTCGATTCAGTAATTTTGTGGTTGCCGACATCGGCACCTGAAAGGACACCTTGGTTTGAAGTGTGCTCCAGGGGGCCATCCTGAGAGTATCCGAGCGTTTGAATGTGTGAGACAAGCACATCTCCCTAGTCCTGGAACCGACGATGTGCTAATTGGCTTGGTGGATTGGATCCCTCCCGTGCACACCCGCTTGGCTTGTCCTCACCACAGGCATGTGTTATGATGGTGGTGCGGTGGGTTCTGCGGATATCCTCATTGCCGTCAGTACTGGATTGTTCTTTCATTGTTATGGGCTTCTACTCTGATGTGATGTGGCTCTTTCGTTCCTGTTTCTCATCCTGGTCGTATTCTCATACTTGAAGCCCAATGCTGTACACCTGCAGCATCGTCCACGTGTTATCCTTCTTGTTTTCTTTATGTAGTTTTTTACCCTCCGTTTTCGTTTGTTTCTTTACTTCTGCCTGTCCTTCTTTCTTTCCTTTTTTCCCTGTGTCTAGCTTATTGTCCTGCTGAGCCGTTTGTGTTTGGCATTTGGTGTTTCTGTCTGCTCCGGCTTCCCTTGCCTCACCTGCTCTCCCCCAAGAGAATTGCAAGACGAGAAAGGGTCAAGAGAAGTGCATTCACACCCTCGGGTAGCTCGCAGTTTGGGTTCGGGCAAGGGCAACCCCCAAGTATGCAACCCAAAACACTGCACTGCTACTGGTCCTTCTGTCTGCCCAGTAGTTCAGTGGAGACAGAACTATGCGGAGCCTGCCTGCACCGAAACTGCCCTACCCCTATATGTAGAGCCCTGAACCCTCAAAAGCTAGCTACACCTTAAACCCCGAACACGAACACTGCCGTCACCCTTCCGCCAAGTTGCGAGAGTTTGCACATTCACCTAGAACCTATATGCTGCGCCTAGTGTGATCCGGCGACGCGGACGAGGATCGCAATGGGCGGAAGAAGCTTTAAACTCGCAAAAATAATCAGGCAGCCAACGGCTGCCAAGGGTTGCGGCGCACAATCCTGCGACGCTAGCGGCCACTGTGAGGCACCGGGTGAAAGGGGTACACAAAGAGCGCAACGTGCCGGTTCGCCAGGAGCGATCCTGCAAGATCGTGGACGTTAGCAGCCACCCGGCTGAAATCGAGAGGGAGAGAGAGTATTTAGTGGAAGTTCAGTGATTTCGTTGAGTGATGTTGAGTGAGTACCTCGCAGGCCTCCTGAAACCGGCCACTCGGGGGAACATCATTTCCTGCCAGGGATGAAAGCTGTCGCCTTAGTCTTGGCACCAATCCCAGGCCAATAAAGCGACGTGTGAGAACATCTTCACTCATCTGGCAGGTTGAACCATTTTGCTGATGTTCGCCGCTGGCTGAGAGATGAAGAGCGCTGGAATGAATGGCAGAATCTGGATGTGCGCCGCAATGCACAAGACAGCATGGGCGCATGCTTTTTCCTTCGCCACTAAAGACCTCTGCAGGTACAATGGGTGCAGGGGCACAATCCGGATCTTATCGTTCTTGATGAGAACGGCCAAGAGAAGGACTGACCCCAAAGAGGGCTGGGGAGCTGTGCTGATTTGTATCCGGAGAGCAACCTGGAGAGGAAAGGATCGACCTCACTCACTACAGTATCATGGCAGCATGGCACCCCCACAGCCCAATCTGCAACACGTCTGCCCAAGGCTACAACCAGCTTCCAGAGATGCTCCGTAAACGGGGCTTCCGTCTGAAAGGAGAGGATTGGTAGGCAGGTGGAATGCCAAGTCACTTCTTAGGATTTTCTTGGAGTAAACTTGTTCTAGCGCCGATTGCACTTGCGGATAGGCCTACTGATTTACTCAGCTCTTGCAGGTTTGTTTCCAACAACACAAGCTCTGGCAGCTTGTTGTGTAAACTCGCAATCTCCGAAGCCGGGGATCCATGTAGCATTTGTGGACGAATCGCGGCTTTGCCGGACATGTAGCCTTGGAGTCGTAGGACAACAAGACTGTTCTGACGTGCCCCGTCCATCCGGCAGAACAAGATGCAGATTCGCCAAGCCGCGAAAGGTGCAGGCATCATACCATGCTGAGATCGTAGGTTTTGCAGCAGAGACGGCTTTTCCTTTTGACGACACACCTGGCCTTTTCCAGCGAATGACGAACAGTTCCGACCCTGCAGACCAGGTTCGCACGAGCTGTGTTCGGACATGCCGGGTAAACCGGGGTCGTCAGCCGACTTCTGTGACAAAGCCTATGCAAAAAAGTAATTATATAAGTTGTTTCTGAGAGAGCTTCTTCCAAGACGAGGGATTGTCTGTACCTTTCCAAAATAGGGAAGAATGCTAGAAGCCCGTGCAAGAGGCGCGGCACAAAGAGACCCGCACCTGCAGCCTGCAGCCAGGAGACGCAAACATCGAGCCCGAGACGTAAATGATTCTGCGTTGGCAAAAGATGCTTAAGTTAAAGCACGACTGTGCACCGATCACTGCAGGAAAGTTCAGGGGCCGGCCAGAAATCCGCAGCTATGGGAGGTGAGGTGAAGGGTAAAGGGCCAAGGGACACTGCAGTACTGTACCAGAGACAGGAGCGTCGTATGTCAAGTGGTGTAAGCGTGTCAGCACACACTCGGACACACAGTCGCTTGCTTACTTCCTTGCTTGTGTAGTTGTTTTTTTTCTTACTTGTGTTTGTAAGTCGTCAACGTCTGCGGCACGTACAGTCTGCTCAACATACAGCAAGATAATGCGTGGTGTCACAGTCCCCATATGCTAGGAGCTGGATTTCGGTGCGTAACACCGATAGTATTGCGTGTGTAGCAACAGTCGAGACGGCATTATCCGGAACGCATGAACGGCGGGGCCCGGCACTGTAACTGCAGCGCGAACTTCCTACCTGCTTCTTTATAGAGGGCATCCAAGAGCCTGTATGTTCAATCGGTTGCTAGCTAGAGTGGCCAAGCCTCGTTACCAGGTGGCGTCTTGGCTCCGGAAGCACGAGGCAGATTGCCAGTTGCCATGACGGTCAGACGGGCGATGTGGCGACCCGATGTAACCTTGCAAGCATGTCAGCAGCCGGTTCCAGCTCTCATGCTGCAGGGCTCCAAGCAGGTAACCCTGAAGACTTGGTGACTAGACAAGCAGAGCGACATCTTGCGCTTGCGAGGAAGACAAGGTTGCCAAAACCGAAGCTTGTCCGGCCTGTCGTCGAGAAGATTACTGAAATCTCTCCCTCTTCGTGACCATACTATACCATACTGGTCCATAAGCCCTTCAAGACATGCTGTATCGTTCCGTAAGGCAGTCAACTGACCTTGGGGCAGGTGTCGGGTGCCGTGCTGCGAACTCTGGACGAGGTCTCGAGCTCATGATCCAAGCCCGGAACCTCTCTCAAAGGTCAGACAGGTCATCATTTGTCCATGCCCAAATGACCGGGCCGATACCTGTGCTGCCGTGGAGGCCGAACTCGCCGTCTTTGCCTCGGAGGAATCGGAAGGAAGCACCACTACCTTCGCCTTGCAACCTTGCTCTAACTTTTTCGTTGCCTCCGTAAGGCAATGGGCCTTGAACCTTTCGGTCGCCGCCGCCAGCTGCTGCTGCTGCGTAGCTTGGCACACATGGCACTGGAGACTGTTCGGCATCCGAAACTTAGAAACTGCGTCTTGGCCACGTCCGTTAGTCAGCACTAGGGCGTTGGGAACGACGGGCTGGGCTAAAGGGCACGAGGTGCTGTTTCGCGGGGTCCTGTTGATTAGACCAATCATTTGCAAGGCGAGGAGCTGCTGGCAGGGGGCCGAGTCGGGCCGAAAATGTAGATCTCCAACCCAGAAAACTGAGCATTGACTCCCATCGCAAACCCGTGTGAATCGTTATGAGTGCTTTGTTCGAGGCAGAGGATGCTGCCAAGGAGACGAAAGCAAACGGCCCTAGGACGGGCCACACGTGCGTTTTGAGTGGAGTGATTGCGGGCGTTGGAGAATCTTGTCGCAAGATGCCGCAAATTCGCAGCCACGTGGATCCATGCTCCCGAGAACGGTTGCTCTCTGCCATGTGGCCTTGCTACTGCATGGGAAGCCGACAAGCGGATTCACGAAAGTGGAATTCGAGGTTGTCGGTCCACAAAATGCCGACAGCTGAGATTGCGAGAAAGAAGCTGCCAGAGATCCACAGAGATTATTTTTGCTTGAGGAGAGGCAAGAATCGGTGGCGGCGGCTTTCCTTCACGCTTGGAATGCCTACAAGGTGCAGAGACAGATTGCATGCTCGAGGATGTCAACGGTCAAAGCAGGGTCAAGGCCGTCCAAGCGTCAGGTCCATTGCTGGGGCCAAGACGAGCTTCGACCGGTCACGCAGAGCTGCAGCAAGGACTTCGGAGGCACCACGAGCTAGTTTGGCTTTCATAGTTTCCTCAACACTGCTTGCAGGTCTGGGCGTGCAGATCATCGATGCGTTGGACTCACTCTGGCTTCTGGGACTTCAGGAGGACGTCTTGGCTGCACCACTCGTGCCACGATCTGCACGCTTGGGGATTGAAGGACTATTACGAAGCCGAGAGGTCCCGGCCAGCGTTGCCTCTTCTTGGGTGGACGTCTGCTGATGCGAGGTGGGTCCTTCGGAATTTCACCTCGGACCTTGATGTGACAGCTGCTTGATTGCTACGACGGTGGAAGCCTGGCCCTGCTTGTGAAGATCTTGCAGACATTCTCATGGCTGCAAATGGTGTCGGTATGCCGGTACCCTCGGAAGTGAAGCACACCGGATCGTCTTTGCTTCGTCCAGAGGTTAGCGTGTTCGAGACGGTCATCCGAGTGCTGGGCGGGCTTCTCTCTGCTTACGGCCGGACACGAGCTGGTGAAGAGTTTTGAGAATGCCAATCACCACAGCCACCGTGACATGTTGACAGGGCTAAGTGGGCAACTGCAGCTTCTGGCTCACGCGGCACAGCCACCAAGCTTGCATGGAGAGACACTGACATGTTGGTGCGTTGGTCTAGGCCAGGCTCCGCAACGTAAGCTTGCAAGGTTGGGGCAGCGACTTTTGCGTGCCTGGCGCGAGGGCCCAGTGCCCCATGAGCTGGCTCCCTGTCAGAAGTCGAGAAATGAGGTCACGGTCTCAGGGGCCCGCTCGGACTGGCGACAGGTGAACCTGAAGACTGGCGAGACCGGCTTCAAAGAGCCGGAGTTGGGATCCACCTTGGCAGAAGTGGGCACCATCCAGGGTGCCACCGCGGCAAACGGGATTACATCAAATATTTATTGCTGCATGTGCTGGACTCAGGTGAGTTCACATTGCTCAGTGCATGGACAGGCAGGGCCCCGCGCCAGACATGTGTTGAGGCAGAAGCTGCAACAAGCCTCGAATCATGGAATCTGGCCGGCTGTTCTGTTCATGTCTTCGAACATGCGGCTCCTCCAGTCACGGCTGTTGTCACAGGTGACCCTACTTTCCGCACCAGAGGCAATCACGTGATGGATCTGCTGGGAACACTGCTGGTTGAGACTTGCTTGAACTTCATGACTTACAGGGCGTGGGATTGTTGCGTTCTTGATCTTTGAATTTCTTGGATCAGGACCACGGTGGGCTCCTACCCATCATGATCCTTGCCACTTCATAGCTTTCAGACGCTGATCCATCTCGGCTGCCCCAGTCTTGGTCACGCAGCATGTGAAACAAGCAGAGTTGCCCCAGGATAAACCCACAGCCACCCATGCACTGGACGAATGCAAGAGCCACTTGACTTCAATCAGTGGCGGCCACAAGCGCTGGCTGCAGGGAGTTGTTGCATTGTTGGGTGTTTTCGTGCCGAGGTCACCCTCGGTGGTCGTGGTGACTCGTTCTATGAGTACTTGCTTAAGCAGTGGCTCATCACGAATCGCACAGAGGAGAGGTACAAATCCTGGCTCCTTGGCACGCTCTATTCCTTATTGCTGAAGGCCGAATTGCTGAAGCATGCTAGCGGTCACTAGCGGCCACTAGCGCATGCGACCGCTTAGGTATCAACTGTGCGTCGATGGCATTCGCCGAGCTTTCGTCGGCCAGTCACGCCCTTCCAACTTCAGCTTCATTCGCGACGAAGCTGAACACGTAGTGGTGTGTTTGTGCTTCGAGGGTCAAGGCACGTGCAACCTGACCGGCCAGCTACTAAATTTGACGTAGAAGGTAATCCCGCAAGAGTCAGGCACGAAGGGACGTCACGTGCTACAGGTGAAGTCAGCGCCTGGGATTCAATCTCACAACTTGTTCCTCCATCAGCGGCTTGGACAGCGCTGGTGCGACGACGCGAAACGTGTAGGTGTTGTCGGTGTTGTCGTCCGAGGATGGATGGCAGTGGGATCCGGAGACGACCGGGGAAGAGTTGCCTGGTCTGGTCTGGGTCTTAGTCGGAGGCGTGCAGACAAGCGCGGTCGCTGTCCGGCCCAGGCCTTCTTCTTCCAGTTCCAGGATGCGACCTCAGGGCTACAGAACGAAGAGAAGGCACAGGCACAGCTACCAGCACGATGTTATGCGGTGTCGTATCCGCAGCACTGAGTCATACCAGGCCCCTGCAAGCTCGCCTGCACCGACAGCTGACATGGAAGGAGAACCTGACAACGATCTTTATGAGGTAGCGTAGCGGCGTAGCACAAGGTATCTCGCACTTGCATGTCGCTGCTTCGCTCCTGTTGGACTTCGTGAGATGCCATCGCAGGAGCGAAGCAGCAAGAAAACGGATCTGTCACCCGGCTCAGACTATGCAGAGATGTGTGGCCACAGGGCTGGGGGCGGGCTCCCACCAGAGGTGCAGGGGCCACCTTTGCATAATCGGTCGCAGCCTTCATGGGCGTACATCATCATCCCGTCCATGTCACCGGACACTGCATGTGCTTTGATGCTTGGCTCGATCTAGAATCTGGAACCGCCCAATTGCCAGTTTTGTGCTATCGAGTTGCACAGGATGGAGCTCCTGCGGTCGCATCGTTGGGACGTCGCCAGCAAAGCTGGAGCCCAAGCACAGATTCACAGCCGAGTCTGCTGAGAATGCGTAGATCTTGGCATGCTGCCCAGATGATGGCAATTGTATTGCCGCCCCCACACAAGCAGCTCTCGGCAAGCAGCCAGTACAGGCCGAAGACAGAACTGAATTCAGCATCTGCTCGAAAAGTGTTTCTTGTGTACTCTTTTGCTGTCGCGAATGGATGTGTTGCATCAGGATTGATGCAATGCTCAGTGGTCAGCTCCAAGACCTTTGCCACAGCCGACAGGAGTTCAAGATGGACTGCCGGGCTGCCTCGAGTCTTCGCTTGCTTGTATGGCTTTTGGTGAGTAGGAGGCAAGCAGTGACCAGCCGCCAAAGAAAAGTGAAGAGGGGATGGCCCGGAACCGCGACGGCGGCAGGGCAATCACACCAGGATTTTGGGGCACCCGTGGACGAGAGGGCATCCGGCGAGCATCATGACAACCCGGCGCGCCTGCAGCGGCCCAGGCAGCGCGAGGCGATGTTTTGCCAGTTTTTGAATGGGTTGCGGAAGCCCCCAAAGGGCGCGCGTCATCAGCATCAGCGGGGTTCCGCGGAAGGGGGCGTAGCCTTACTCCACCTCGAATCCAGCACACCGGAGAAACTGCGGCCAGCTTCATGGGGAACCTCTCGACCCAAGGCCGAAGTTTACAGGAAGAAGCACGAGAGGGTAGGAAGCCGTTGAGGCAGCGCACAGCGGTTCCACCATGACACTGTGAAAGACAGCCAATGCCGCGAGAAAGTGTCTCAACACAAAACCATGTCCTCGTCAGACTGCAACCAACATCGGATAGGAGAAGTTTGTCGATGTTGCCCAATGTCAAACTGCAAACACAAGGGGGTGCGCCCTTTTCTCTCGGGGAAGACCGTCCACCGTCCTGATCATGACTGCTCCAGGGCTTCTTCTTGCGAACTCCTTGGGTGCGGAGTTGCTACGATTGACTCGCAGTGAAAACCGTACGTTTTCGCACCGTCTTCATCACAGCCGCCTGTCGTTTCATTCGCCACTGTTGGACTTTCGTGAGCGCGATCTGCAGTTAAAGGCGGATCAGATTTCAGGATCCTGTCGTGGTCTACCGAGGCAGTACACCATGTCTGCCATTCTTCCTCAGGCCAAACTGTTTTTGTGGTTTAACGAGTTAGCAATGCCCTCGGCGCAACGGGCGCAACGTACTTTGATGGATCTGTACAGGCGCCCCAGGCTCATCTCAGCAAAGATAGGGGAAAGGTCGCCATTCAAAAGGCATGGTTGAGTTGTAAATGCGCCACACTCGTTCGGATGCAAAACTGGGGATGTGGTTTCCAGCCAGAAAATCATGAACCCCAGTCGCACAGATGGATCCATGGTCGAACACACCATTCTGTGCAAGAAGGGTTGCCCGCTGTGCAAGAGTGCGTCAAGAGCAGGTAAGCAAAGAAGGGGAGGCAAGGCGTCTCTTTAACGCAAAGCGGAAACTGTCATCCTAAAGCTCAGCCCGCTCTCTCTCTCTCTCTCTCTCGAGGATTCTCGCATTTTAGAAGTCTCAGCTTTACTGCAGAGCGCAGCCGTCAATGGTAATGCTACGGCGGCGTTGTCTCGTTCAACGTGCTAGGACTTCCGGCGTGCGAGTGGTAGGGCAGGGACAGTCACATGTCACAAATCGGCAGAAACTGCGAATTTGACTTTCTCTCCGATCCCGAAAGACGGCCGGACAACTCTTGCAGCAGCTTTGAGCAGCTGAGAGTGTTCACTGCTCAGAACTGGGCCTTCAGGTCTGCAAATTGTCTCCTCGATAAGTTGAGTCTTTCGTCGGCTTTGAAGGACCATCTCTCCTGTTTCTTTCCTGGGGTGCTGGCGCTGGGAGTCCTTACCGGAGCAGCAGCACGGCCAGCGGAGGACCAACGGCAGCTTTCTCTTGACTGAAGCGTGCCCTTATCGACTGAAGGAGTTGCTCTTGGCACAAGACTTAACCGAGAGCTGCGCCAGGATGTGGTTAGACTCGCCTCGAGGCCTGAAAGGGGGAGACAACTCAGAGAGGACTCAGAGAGTGAGGCCGGCGACTTTCCACCGAGGCTTAGCTCCCGAGAGCGTCCTTTGGAATCGAGCGCCTCAGCGCTCCCTCGACTTTCGGGCCGGGAGCTTGGGGGCACTTGGGAACTTGGGGGGGTCCTTTTTGTCAGGAGCGTTTTCAGATCCGAGCACCTTCAGGCCACGCCGAAAGATGCCCACTGCAGCTTGAGACCAGAGGTTGTCGAGTCCTTGTGGTGACCACTCGGGACAGCAGAGGGTGAGCCGTAGCAACATGGCTTTCGCGAATTCACGCATGAAATCAGATGACATGCCTCCCCTGACATGCCGCTGGCGGGCAGGTACCTGTATCTTGCAACCGGGGACCCCAAATATCAGGACGCTTGGCAGCAAATAGTCTCTTCCAGGTTTTTTCGGCGGCAATTGCATTACCGCCGGAGTGGTGCTGTTGCAACAAAGCCGTCGCCGCATCGCAAGTCCATTGTAGGGAGTGTGCTTTGCGATGAGAGTCATTCATGATTTCTACAGCAGTCTCAGGGCGACAGGCCCTTCAAAGCATGTTTCGGCATGAGCTTCACTCAAAGCCTAGATATTGAACGGAGGGCCCTCCCCGCCTCATCTCTTGCTCTTGCTCTTGCTCCTGGGCTTGTTCTTACTTTTCCTATTGCCCTTGCTCCTGAACCCCCTAATCCGAATTTGCTTTAACAAGGCGGGGGTGATTTCAGGGTGAGTGTTCCAACACATGTATTTAACAAGGTGTGTTTAGTCAACGGGGGAAGGGATTCCGCGTTTCATATCTACACAGTTTGTCTGACTGAGAGTGCAAGCCACATCGGCAGCCCGTCGTAGAAGCTTGGATGCTTGCCCAGGCGGCTTTTGATTTGAGGCAACCAGAAGCATGTTTTTTCTTGACTCAGAGCCCTGCTGTGCAGGATTGGGGCTGGTCCATTTTCCAGGCAATTGAAGCCTTCGCTCGGGTGGATTCCGGTGGTGCCTTGTCTGGCAAAGGGAGCATCACTGAAAAGCTCATGTAGTCGTGAAGCCCGGTCGCAGATAGCAAAACTCCTCAGTCCAAGCGGGCTTGTCCGAGTGTTTTGGCCTGGCCGTAGTGGCCGAGACTTCGGAGGTGTTGAGGTAGCGAGGATCCAGGATTCCTCGGATCCTCGACTTGACCTTGTCTGCGGGAATTTAAAATTGAGGCAAAACCTGAGAAGCGCAGCTCGTTTCAGTATGTATCAGTCAGTCCGAAGAATTGGCCAGGCCGGCAAAATAGGACGTTACGTCGCCACAACGGTGCAGTGCTTCCTCGTCTGCAGATTCATGTCGTCTCGGTGCAGAGTTGCGGAGGCTACAGCAGCATCCAGGATGTCACAGTTCAAACTGCGCCTCTGCTTCGATAAAATTATGACATACTTTGGTCGTTCTCGTGGGCTGAACATGCTTGCTTCGAGACTTCTAGACCGTATGTGTCAGAATTCCAGAAGGAGCTGGACCGTCGTGACGAGATGCAGACGTTCCTGCTGAGTGAGACGTTCAAGTACCTCTTTTTGCTCTTTGGAGACGCTCGGCTTGGAGCCAGATGGTTGGAGGAGGCCATGATAGTAGAGCCTTCAACCAATGTAAAATATTAAATGCATTGTCAGCCTTCGGATCAAACGCGAGAAAGGGATGAAAGGGGGAATCGGCCATCACAAATGCTGGTGCCACTTCCTGGAGTTCTGGCTGCCCCCGCATTCTGGACGGAGTCCACCATGTGGGCAGTGTTCAGCTTGCGGCGCGCAGGTACCCTGGAACCTGCTGCTAGCCAAGGCAAATCTGACCAAGATGCTGGCAGAACAGCACGAAAAAGCGAGGATGGCAGCCATGGAGCACTCAACGTAATCCAACACCCTCGAAACTGTGTGCCATCGCGCGCCGATGCGATGCGGAGTCTCATCTACCTTGTAAGTATGGGTGGGAAAGAAGAGACGGAGAAACCCTACAAGAGAAGGGCAGGGCAATGTTCGTGCATTGTGCTTTTGCTCTAGCTGCTCAAGTTTCTGTCTTGCGGCGAAGACCCTCGGGATGTGTGCATTTCGGTGTTTGAGGGCTCTAAGACGTTTTGTGAAAGCTCGGCGCGGCCTTGCGTGTTGTGTTAGGACAAGCAGCCCCTGGACCTCAACAAGATCGTGCTCAACACAGAGGGCCATCCGCTACCAGTCCTTGGTGCTGGCATCGAGATGCAGAAAAGTAAGTGCGGAGCGTGCTGACTTCAGAATAAAGGTGCGCAGTGTGTAGCAGTCTATTACATTGGCCTCGCCTTTGCAATTTTTGGCACAAAGACGTGCCACATCTTCTTTTAGAAGGCAAGCCCCAAAGCTATTGTAGGACACTGAGACGAGCTATGATTCAGTTCGGAGCAACTTGAGAACTGCATTCTCGTTCGGATGCATGTCGCAAGAGCTCACGGTCGGTGCCGGCTGCGTGGTTGGACCGTCAGCTGCACATCAGAAGCCTTTTGATGGTGGCAGCATGTCAAACGCCGGACACGATTTCTTCCCGCGTCGAGGCGGGGTCAGGCCATCAGCACCTCGCCATTGTTCCGTGCTTCGGCACAACTGCAGCGACAGAGGCGACGGCACCTGCACGAGGCGCCACATGCAGAGCCTATCCTGCGAAAAGCAGCCCTGCATCCAAGCGACCGTGCTCACGCGAAGGTGTTCTCGGATTCCCACAAAGAAAGCCACCTCGGCAAACTGGATGAGCTGGGGCGGGACAGGCAGCTTTCGAGCTTTTGTCGGGAAGCTTCGTTCGTAGATGGCATGACCGGTCACGATCTCTTTGCGCGGGAGATGATGCCTGCGCTCTTTACGACAGTGCACATCTTTAGGTGATGTCAGTGATGTCGGACGAACCTTGGCAGATGCCAGACTTGCAGCGGATGCTGCAAGTGATCGAGTGTGAGAACAGCGACGAACTACCAGTTGCAGAGCTGCGTGGCCAGGCAGCGAAAAGTAGTATCTGAGCTTGGTCCTGGCGACAGGTATGCAAATGCGAGCTTGGAGAAAGCTGGGGCGCCAGGAGCCGCTCGACTGCCGCAATGCGCCTTCGGCAAAGTGCCTTCCACATCTCAGACTGAGGTGATCAAAGGCTTGTCCTGGTGCAAATCCTTGCTGTTGCAGCGGGAGGAGTGCCTTTTGCATCGGCGTTCGACCCGTGAGATTCAGCCACGATGTTCTCCAAGTGTCCATCCGCGAGCTGGCTTTTCTCCTTCGCCTTGCGCTCTGCAGGATTTGGATCAAGACGATGAAGTTCGCTTGCTGGACATTGGCAGCTGCAATAATGCTCTGGAGTCGGAGCTAACCGCCAGGGAACGGCATCAGCTGTGCCTTGGCCGAAAGCAGTGATCCAAGCGCTGCACGCGCGCGCGTGAGCATGTCCGGACATGCTTTCAAGTGCTTGCAACATCTGCAACTGTTGATGACTCCTGCAGGCGGATCACAGCGGTGGACGTGTGCCCACGGCATGACTCCGTGTGGCAGTGCGACTTCCTGCAGCTGCAGGTGCTGCCCCGGCACAAGCGTGCTATCCGAGAAGGCATGGCAGCAGGGACAGAAGAGAGGCGTTTCGTGGCCGCGTGCGGCTAGGACGGCAGCTTGTGGGGCTCCCTGCAGAAAGTTTTCACGCTTGCCTCCTCTCGATGGTGTTACATCACTGGCCACAAGAAGTCCAACGTCAGGCCTTGGATACCGCACCTTGCCTCGAGAGGATGGCCAAGCACAGAAACTACATCACACTTCGCGAGTCTAGGTAAATGCGGATGGCACCGACGCCTGCTGAAGCTCAGGTCCACCGGCTGCTTGTCAGTGAGGGCCAGCTGTTAGTGGTTGAGCCGGCTGGCAGATATGGCAGACATGCGCAGACTGCGTCTTACTTCGGGGTATGCCGGGTGTTCCACGTGCTATTCGAGTGATTTCATCTCTTGAGGGGAGCTTTGCAATGAGCATCTATACTCCAAGGTCCTTCTTGCGAGAGATTTGCATTTGCTGTACTGGAAGACAAACCGGCCCACTGCTCATGTGGTCCCGACACTGTCACTACAGGAATCGAGCCTGGGATTCTACAGTGTCTGGGCATGCATCAGTCTTGCTGTGCAGGGCTTGGGACGGCCTCCTCCCTGCGTTGACAGAGGAAATCGCATGTTCTTTCAACATGTGGGTTGTCCTATGGAGGGCACTTCGAGCTCGATTGGCCCAACACATGCAACGGATGCTGCATCATGTCCAAACGGGAATCCTTGCGCTGATGTTCTGTGCGACAGAATAGAACCGCGCCTATCCCCCGCCTCCCTGCCTGTCGCGCGAGCCCCTCGCTGCTCCTGGCCTTGCCGTCCCCTTCGACCCGAAATTGCGACAATTGGACTGCGAAACAAGACGTGTCTCTGCTGCCAGTAGTCACCTGCCCGTCACCTTTCCTGCCCAGTCGCCTGCTTTCCGGTCCAGCCTTTTCCTTCTTGGGTTGGCTCTTGCCTGCAAGTTCCTCCATAGCTCACCAGGTTTTTGGAACAGAAGCGCAGGATGTCACCAGTCCCTGTGCAGCGTTTGTTTTTGTGAGGGACGGCTTTCTCAAGGTGTGTGTGTGTGTGATGATGTTTTATGGCGTGATGTGCACTTCAGTGACAGCTTGACTTACGAGGCTTGCTTGTCGCATGCCGGCTTTGCCCTGGAGCAGCAACGGCGATTTGCCGGATGCTCGCTTCGGGGTTTAGCGTTTCGTGCATGTGAGCCAGTTGAGCGGGCTGCCTTTGTGGCACGGCGCCGAGCAAAATGCGTGCGTTGCAATGCGTTGCACTGCATTTCGTTCAACTCCATAGAAGGTGTCCCAGTCCCAGTCTCTTCTGTGTAGGACAGACCCGGCCATGGTCAAGTCCAAGACACGCAGGCCCGCGGTGTGTTGCAGGAGTTTTCGGATGTCGATGTTGCAAGAACGGTTGAATCAGATATAATTTTGAGTTGCTCTCGCTGTTAATCTCGTTGTTCTTAAGAAAGCATGCCTGTAACTTTCTCTGTTGGAGGCATGCGCTGAAGTGCGACAAGGACCGAACAGTTTGACAGGCTGATCTACTTGGGTGGCTTGTGTACTACTTGGCGCCATGGAACACACAGCAGGGTAATGAGGCTCTCAAGTTTCAAAGAATGACCCGTTAGCTGTACCACTCGCACGAGAAACGCTGCAGCAAGCATCCCCCAAGCCACAGTAGAACACATCTTTGTCCTTCTTGTGACTTTGTGTGTGACTTGCTTTTATTTTATCGCTAACCAAAGAGTGCAGAATCAGAAGCTGCGGTACCAAACCGAGACTTCACGGAAAGGACTTCGAGCCTTCGCCGCGCCTGCCTGCAGCTCATGCCAGGGAATTCGATTGATCAGACCGTGAAATGCGCAGACTTCACTTGTACACCGAGTCCAACTCCTTTGCGCTCATTGCTGAAGTCAACATCTGCCAAAGGCCTGCAGGACAGGTCAACGGGCCGAGAGCGCGGGATAAAAGCTGGCCATCTAAGGGCTTCGAGAGTTGATCGTCAGCAGCTTCAGCAGTTGTTCTGGTGTTCGACGTGGCTTCTTTCTTGTCGGGCTTGCCGGTCCTTCCAGGGGCCTCGGGCGCTGAAACCAGCAGCATGCGTTTTCGTTGCTAATCTGCTGTCAGCAACAATGCGTGCAGCTTCGGGGCCGGAACCCAGCCGGTCCGGACATTTGCGTTGAAACTGATAAGACGTAGCGAGAGGGCGTATGCTCGGCTTGCCGGCCTGCTCTCAGGACGTCACGTCTCCAGCCGTGAAGTTGAAGCAGCCAATCGCTTACGAACTCCAGGACCACCCCAGAGCAAGCATGCGAAGCGGCTTTGGCATCAGACTTTTCATGCTGTAGCCATAGCCTCCCGACCTCGGTGCTGAAGGACTCTCCGTCCGGCACAGAGCTCACGCTTCCAGCATCGGAGGCTGTGGCGCCAACGCGTGCGAAGGCATGATAGGGCATGGAGGAATGCGGGGAGCGACTGGTGTTGTCTCTCTGCGCAGGCCGTGCTTCATGCGGATGGGGCGCCGGCCTCTCAGACTCAGACGTGGTGGACTGCATCTGGGGGAAATGTTGTAATGAGTGTCGACACACATGGTGATCGAGAAAAGCCTAAAAAGTAGTGGGATCCCTGCCATGCAGACCCTCGGGTCTGCCATGCGGCAGCTAAAAAGTGATCAGTGAAAAGGCTCGTTGTAGCCTGGATGTAACAGACACCTGCCTCTTCGCATTCCTGGGCCTGTGCCTCGAAGGCTTGGAAAGACACCTCAGCATGCACGTGCAGCTTTCAAAATCATCTGTGGGCGTAGCTTAGTTGGACACCCTGACGGCTTGTGCACGCGCATGCGCGGCTGCAGAGCAGCTCCCGTGTCTCCGATCTGGGGGCATCTCAGTTTCGGAGGCAGGTTAGGAGGATTCACTGCCACGTGCAAAGCTTTGATAGGCTCTGGAGAGAGAGAGAGAGATATATATATATATATATATATATTATAATATAACATAATATAGTATAATATAATTTAATATGATATAATATAATATAATATGATATAATTTAATATAATGTAATGTATAAGAAAGAATGCTCCTCTGCAGCTCGGCTCGGCAGGTGCTCTCTATCACCTGCTCAAACGGGTAGAGGTCGACGAAGAGGAAATGTCATCACACACACACAACAAGAAGCGACATTGAACGCGGGAGACTTAAAGCACGAACTTGTAGAAGCCTTGATCTTTAGAATAGGGTTTTGGGGTAAGTCTTCATGAAAAATTGGAAGAACCATTTGGGCTTCTTGACGACCCATACCATCCTCAACTCCTGCCCCATGTACCTGAGCTTGGTGTAAGTGAATGTCGAATTCGGAGAAAGCAATCCATGGAGGCCTTCGAAATAATGCAGGGTCCTGAATAATTAGAATGGGGTTTGGGGGTATAAGATAGTATAACTTTAAGTCCCCGCCAAGAAAACAATGTAGTAGCCACTTAGCGCTAGGTTGAGTAGCACTGTCTCGTGCCACTTGCACTTAGTGTGCAGGGTGTAGGGTTTAGGATTTCACAATCTTAGGTGTTAGCAGTGTAGAGAATCAGCATAGAACCCTCATCCCTAAACCCTAAACCCTAAACCCTAAACCCTAAACCCCTTGAGGGTTTAGGTTTCAGGCTCTGAAGTTGGAGGGACTCGGGGCTCGATCCGCTTGGACTTGCGTGCTGAGCTCTACTTGTGGTTGCTTCGGGCTTAGGGTTTAGGGTT